TACTACACTGTTTCCCTATTCATACTCAGGTATTCCGCTTCTCTGTTGCTTCTCACTCTGTTTACATTTAGCCCCTCTTCTTTGTGTTTTTGTCTATCCACCTTATCGCTTTAGATATCTTCCCATTTGTGTCACTCAAAAATCACGCCGTTTCTTTATAGCATGTTCGCTTAAAGTCATTTGTGACAGGAATTTGACAGCCTTTATACAAAATTTAATTTTAAGCAACTATACCAGATTTTCATTCATTTTCCGCCAATTGTATAACATGAACACATCACACTTTTTCTACTGTTCGGTAACAAATAACTTATCTGCTCTCTATCCCAAGTTCGAATATGTCCAGGCGTGCTCAGGTATAAATTTTTACTTGGCACATTACCACAGCGATTCGCTAAACTTGTCACTCATATTTCGTGGACGTAGACATATTTCATAAACACAAATCTTGACTTCTGCCTGAATAAAGAAATAAACACAAATGACAGAAAATCTTCAACAGCAGCAGCAGTTGCAATCAAAACATGACTGCTAGAAACAGCAGTTGCAGTACCAATCAGCATCAGGTTAGGTTTAAGGTTCCAAGTTCACTACAACAAATTGTCTTACGCCTATTGGATTAAAACGTTATTTCGTGAATTTGGTGACGTAGTGATTATTAGTTCAATCCCTGTATCGGGCAGTGTGGACTCATTGGAAACGGATGATCAATAAGTGAGCACTACTAAAAAATTGAACTAGATTAGTAAAAGGGGAATAACTGCGACACCCAGAAGAGGCATGGTACGTGTAACTAGAACAATCTATCTCGGTGGACGAAATAAAGGGTTCAGTTCAAAATTCGAATGACCTGCAGATGGTCGGAACGTACAACGGTCGAAACGTTGTGAATATGGCAATGAAGATGAGGATAACAGTCCGAATAATGTAAATAATACAAGTAAACATAATACCTCATCTCAGAGATATAGAGGACGAATCGCTGTGAATATGGCAATGAAGATGAGGACAACAGTCGGAATAATGTAAATAATGCAAGTAATCATAATACCTCATCTCAGATATAGGAAGGCCGAAACGTTGTGAATATGGCAATGAAGATGAGGATAACAGTCCGAATAATGTAAATAAGCATATATCGAGAGATATGAGCAGTGAAACGAGAACAGTCTTTCGCTATAGATTAAATAAAGGGTTCAGTTCAGAATTTCCTGCAGTTTATATAAATGTGAGAACAACAAGGAAGATGAGGAAAATGTTCTGAATATAAATACTGTAAACAATAAAACAGAAAGGCGCTTAATCTATAATACAGAAAAAAATCCTTATCACAACAGACTTTTGAACAATTTTGGTAACATTAACAGATATTATTTCTTGTGATAAATTTTACTTTAGGCTAGCTAGCAATTCAATAGGTAATTGATAAGAATAAATATATAACGTAGTCTGTATTTTTTTTCCGGTTGCCAATCGACTTAACAGATTATATAGACATGGATATACACTTCATCTGCTCCGTGAGATATTAGTCCATGTAAGCAAGGTCTTTGAGTGACCCACAGATTACGTTTTGTTTTGTTTTATTATCCCGTGAATTGCTAAGAATTCTTGTGAAAGATAGTGAAATGCCCCCACCCTGCCTTTTCGACTGTTTGGAATTCAGAGTTTTGGGTTTTTTTAGGATCTGTCTACATTTCTGAGATAGGTATTATGTACACTATTTACATTATTCGGACTATTATCCTCATCTTTGTCGCCATATTTTTACAAAGTTTCGGCCTTTCAGTATCTATCCATATTTCTCAGATGAGGTATTATATACACTATTTACATTATTAGGACTATTGTCCTCATCTTTGTCGTCATATTTATTACAACGTTTCGGCCTTTCAGTATCTGTCTATATATCTAAGATGAGGTATTATGTACACTATTTACATTATTCGGACTATTGTCCTCGTCTTTGTTGCCATATTTATTACAACGTTTCGGCCTTTCAGTATCTGTCTATATTTCTGAGATGGGGTATTATGTACACTATTTACATTATTCGGACTATTGTCCTCATCTTTGTTGCCATATTTATTACAACGTTTCGGCCTTTCATTATCTGTCTATATTTCTGAGATGAGGTATTATTCGTACACTATTTTGTTGCCACATTATTCGTTTCGGCCTTTCAGTATCTGTCTATATTTCTGAGATGAGGTATTATGTACACTATTTACATTATTCGTACTATTGTCCTCATCTTTGCTGCCATATTTATTACAACGTTTTGACCGTCGTACGTTCCGTAATCATAATAATCATACTAATGATAATAATCAAGAAAAGAAGAGTTATTGTGATGCAAGTTTAATAAAACAAGGCAGCGAAAACTGTGAGACAAAAAGCAACTGTAATTTTTACAGTTAATGGAGCATTGCCCACAGAATCGCATGCAGTAAGTACATTCAGCGAGGACATTCGAAGGGAATTGAGGCACGAGTCTTTCTGTTGATACAAAAAGGTTTTAAAAAAGATACTTAAGGACATGATAGATATGACGAGGAAATTACTTAGAGACTGACCGAGAAAAAAGCACCACCAAAAATGGATGGATGTGAGGATGGTGCAATGGATAGCTTTGTAGAACGATAAAGCGGAGAGCTGAGTTCGAATTCCAGTTGAGTTTATATTCACTATTTACATTATTCGGACTATTGTCATCATCTTTATCGCCATATTTATTACAACGTTTCGACCCTTGTACGCTTCGGCCTTCTTCAGGTGGTTGGAATGTCGAACTGAACCCTTTATTTCGTTCACTGGGGTAGACTCTTCTAGTTCCACGTGCCATGTCTAATGGATGTCAAGTATCAGTTATCAATTCCTCTCTCCAAGTTCTCCACCGCTTTAACCCTAGAACACTAAACATCAATTAAAGTTACACCACTACTAACCATGGGTATATCATACCCGATTTTGAAAATATCAAAAACAATATTAAATATAAATCTTTATTTGAAATATTTTACATGCAGGCACTTCAAACTTTGTACTTTGAGTTAACATTAATAGAAACTGAAAAACATTATTTAGGTAAGAAAATCAGGTACTGAAAATTGTAATTAAAAATAGGAAAATTTGCGCTGGGTACTATATACCCATGGTTAGTTTTCTAGGGTTAACCAAGTATTAAACACACACTCTTTGGGTCCATGACACTGGATCTAACTACTTTATTCACTGTGCCATGTGTCTTCTTTTTTTCTTCTACAGCAGAACTGTACTCACTAAAAAGAAACGCTATTTTGAACTATCTCAGCTTCTTATTACTTTCATTTAGATGCTGTAGCTCTGAATAAGAGGCTGTTATAGTTCAAAATAGCGTTTCCTTGTAATTATTTTAAAGATAAAGATGTTGCTTAGAGCCAGTGACTAAACCCAAAGGGTTGTGAGTTCAATACCAGACCACAGCAGTGGTGATCCAGATAAATAAATAAATAAATCGTGGAGATTTGAGTGAAAGGGAAATAACAGAGACAGTCGGAAGAGTCATGGCACGTGGAACTAGAACAATCTACCTCGGTGGACGAAATAAAGGGTTCAGTTCGAAATTTCAATCACCCGAAGAAATCCGGAGTGTACAAAAGCCGAAACGTTGTGAATATAGCAATGAAGATGAGGATAACAGTCCGAAAATTGTAAATCATATAAATAAGTTATTAATAAATAACCTCACTAATTAACTGTCAAATGGATCTCATCTTTTTACTTTTGATTTAGCAAATAATGTAAGTAATTATAATACCGTATCTCAGAGATATACAAGCTGAAACGTTGTGAATATGGCAATGATGATGAGGATAACAGTCCGAATAATGTAAATAATGCAAGTAATCATAATACCTCATCTCAGAGATATACAGGCTGAAACGTTATGAATATGTCAATAAAGATGAGGATAACAGTCTGAATAATGAAAATTATGCAAGTAATCTTAATACCTCATCTCAGAGATATAGAGACCTAAACTTTGTGAATATGGCAATGAAGATGAGGATAACAGTCCGAATAATGTAAATAATGCAAGTAATCATAATACCTCATCTCAGAGATATACAGGCTGAAACGTTATGAATATGTCAATAAAGATGAGGATAACAGTCTGAATAATGAAAATTATGCAAGTAATCTTAATATCTCATCTCAGAGATATAGAGACCTAAACGTTGTGTATATCGCAATGAAGATGAGGATAACAGTCCGAATAATGTAAATAATGCAAGTAATCATAATACCTCATCTCAGAGATATAGAGGCTGATACGTTGTGAATATGGCAATGAAGATTAGGGTAACAATTCGAATAATGTAAATAAAATAAATCAGATAAATATGCGTACTAATCGACTGCCAGATGGGTGTCATCTTTTTATTTTTGAATTAGCAAGCTGTAACCGTAAGTTCTTCCATAAGAATTCATTTACAGGAAATTCACGTCTCTGGATCCCTTTTCAAGTTCTTTGCTTTCCCGGCGCCGTCTTTCTTCAAACATAAATTCAACGTCAATCGCCATCATCCGTCTTTCTTAGTATTGCTCTTTTTCTTCATTATTTTCTTATTCTTTTACATTCCCAGTAACTTCTTGCGTCTTAGGGGCTTTATCGTCTTGCTTGGGTTGAAAGGATTAAGAAAATAAAATAAAACTTTTCCAAATTTGGCTGTCAAAAATAGAATGACTTGATCTTGATACACTGGCTCTTTCGAGCTGTTTTGATTATCTTCTTGCGTTATACACATACATTTTAACTAATTATTGATAGGTAAACATCAGAAGATTCTTATAGACTGCAGATTCACAATAGAGTGGTCTGTGTGTTTTTTTTTGTTTTTGTTTTTTTTGGGGGGGGTTCCACGGATGAAGAATTGAGCCAAAATATTTACTGTTATCCCTTATCGATTGTGCATCACAAATAAGTAAGTAATAATCATATACGAAAGTTGAAGGTCATGTCTATAAATACATCCCTCTCTATCTCTCTCACACTCATTCACTCTCTCTATCTCTCTCACACTCATTCACTCTCTCTATCTCTCTCACACTCATTCACTCTCTCTCTCTCTCTCTCTCTCTCTCTCTCTCGGTTGTTTTCTTCCATTATTTTTTAAAATCCATAAAAAGTTGGGTAGAATATTAAGAATGGTAATAAAGAATCTCTTCGGGGGAAATGAATCAGAATGAAGATGGCGCCTTTTGAAGGAAGGAGGAACAAATAAACATCAACAACTGCGTCTCAAATAATAACAGTCGTTGTGAGAGTCATGTCAGGTTTATAGAATGATCAAAACAACGTGGAGGGAAAACACATTATGGTCATCAGTCGAGTCCCAGTAGTCGTACTAAGAAGAAAAACGATGAATGCAAAAGACAGTAAAAACAACTAGAAATACCCGGGAAAATTTCGCTATTTTCCTATTTGGATTTTCTGATAATTCTTAATTGATAAATTAAAGCTTGAATAAGATCAACGTGGGTTCTACGATCATAAAAATGCGTGTTTAATTTCCCAAGTTGCATCGTTAAATCATTGAGCTTAACAACTTTAACGAAATATTAAAATAATAATCCTAAATGTCACTGTAGGTCATTGTTTGAAGAAGAAAGAGATACAAAAAAATAAGATCTTAACAAGTAAAATACAAATTAAAAGATTTGAAATTGAAATTTTTCTTTTCACTGAAGCAGACGTTAAACAAATGAGAATGTTATCACCTCCTCTGTTTTCATTTTACTTTTCTTTCTTTATTTTCTTCTCTCCTACTTTCTTTCCTTTTTTCTTTCCGTCTTTTCTTTCTTTCCTTCCTTCCGTCTTTCTTTCCTTCTTTCTTTCCTTCTTTCCTTCCTTCCGTCTTTCTTTCCTTCTTTCTTTCTTTCTTTCATTCCTTCCATCTTTCTTTTCTTCATTCTTTCTTTCTTTCCATCCATCCTTCTTTCTTTCCTTCTTTCTTTCTCTCGTTTCTTCTTTCTTTCTTTCCTTCTTTCTTTCCTTCCTTCTTCCCTTCCTTTTTTCTTTCCTTCTTTCTTTCTTTCTTTCTTTCCTTCTTTCTTTCTTTCTTTCTTACCATCTTTCTTTCTTTCTTTCTTTCTTTCTTTCTATCTTTCCTTCCTTCCTTCTTTCTTTCCTTCTTTCTTTCCTTCGTTCTTTCGTTCGTTCCTTTATTTCTTTGCCTTCCTCTCCAAAAAATTAAAAAGCCCCTTCATATAAGCTATCTTTCGTCTATTATCGCAATCAAAGAGGAATGCCCTATTGTTTATCTCAGCTAATGGCAGGGAGTGACTTACGGTTAACCATCCAGCCACAAGAAGCGTCTGCTTAGTAAAGTCACTGTTTATAAACAATCTCCGGCAATTTTCTCCATCAATAATATCATCTCATGAAGCGTATCTTAACATAAACAATGACGACATATTATGAAATGGATTAATTCCGACAATTATTTTAATATTTTTTTTCGAATGTTTAACAGCACATCAGATCAAATGATAATTCCTATTGGAGTTACAAGTTCGATTCCTGTCGGTGAAGCACGTATTTCCTACGAAATATCTCGGACATGCAGGCTGGTAAATATAACTAATACTGTTTAATTAAAAGAAACAGAGCACTTATTTAAATAAATTATATCTATAAAAATAACGTATAGACGGAAAATAAAATAATTGTCAGACTAAATCTATTTTATAATATTTCATTGTTTACGTTAAGGTACGTTTCGTGAGCAGATATGATCATTCGGGAAAGATCGTCGAAGATTTCTTGTTTATGAAGAGTAATTTGGACTTTCCTAGCCAGACGCTTCTTTGCGGCTGAATAGTTACCAGCACATCAGATCAAATGGTGCTTCTCATTGGGTTACAGGTTCGATTCCTGTCGAAGAAGCACATATTTTCTACGAAATTTCTCGAACATTCAGGTCGGTAAATGTAATTAATACAAATACTAAATATAGCACACCTTAAAACCATATTTCTTCACACACACACACACATATATATATATATGCATGTTTCATTAAAAACGACAGACAAGGTACTACGGTTAAGCTTTTTATTTAATTTTTCTTGTGTTCGAACAAGAATTTTCTTTTCTGGACAAAGGGTGTGTAAGAACTGTCCAAATGTTTTATATTTCCGAGCACTTCTGGCTATACATTTAGCCATTATCAAGGATGATTCGATTTTTCAGCTTAATTGAGTGTGTGAATTATATGTGTGCATTATGTGTATGTCTTAGTGTGTAGTAGGGATGTTTTAATTTCCGAATACGGTTAGCACATTGTGGCCTTGTTCGTAGTTAATATTGTTAAGAGTTGTTTTTTTTTCCTTTTTTATTATTAAAGCATCCATTATTTTTAGTCTTTTTTTGCAGGTGGATGCAGTTAATATATTTGTGTTTTCTACGAGTATATTCCTAATGGAGTCTGGTAAGTTTGTGTGTGTGTTTAAATGTGTTCTAATGGAATTGTGATCAGATAGGTGGAACGTAATTTATATATATAATTTTTGTATGACTTAGCGGTTAATAAAAATCTCTTTGGGAACAATGCTTGTTTGTCATTCCTTTGTTTCAGTTATTGTGTTTTATCTGTTGTATTATACTACTACTACTGCTACTACTACTACTACTACTACTACTAATAATAATAATAATAATAATAATAATCGCTGGACATTCGTATTCGAGGATACCCTCCTACTAGGAGGGGGGTTAGTCAATCCCTATTGCAGACGCTTGCTCAGGTACATTTTGTGTTTTGTTCAACACCCAAAGAGCCCAACTGTGGTTGATACTGCAACTATGCTGGGCAGACCTTAGATACAGTTTCTGGAAGATCAACAATCTGAACAAGGCCACCATACTCAAACTCTCGGTCACAATGACTTGTGACTTCGTGCTAGCACAGCCACTGACGGCTCACAAGGGTTCCGTCTACCCAATTTCTCTCACAAGGTTTGGGTCAACCTGTAGTCTGAATTTTCACGCACTTTCCAAAGGTGTCGCATGCTGGGATTGCCTCCTCCAGGTTCATAACATCAAGAAGTCATCTTCCTCTCGAGATTCGAACTCGAGACTCCTGGTCAGAAAGTGAATGTTCTTAACACTCAGCCACTAATACAGACCGGAATTATTTTCTCTTTCCTAACAAAAAAAAAAACAAAAAAACATTATCATCTTTGCCAATCGTACTTGAATAAAAGTAGATATAAATTTGAAAGTGAAACTAAACTCGAATATTTGTTTCTTTTTTTCAAGCCACTAACCCTTTATACTAGTTGGATCTCTAGTCTCTAGGAAGGGGGTCATGTTATTATCTATCTATCTATCTATCTATCTATCTATCTATGTTCATTATCTATCTATCTCTTTCTGTTCATTATCTATCTATCTATTTACCTATCTCCTTCTGTTCATTATCTTTCTTTCTTTCATTCTATCTATCTATCTATCTATCTATCTATCTATCCATCTATCTATTCATCTATCTATCTCTGTTCTATCTATCTTATTCTGTTCATTATCATTCATCTATCTATCTATCTATCCAACTTATTCTGTTCATTATCTATCCATTCATTATCTATCTATCTATCTTATTCTGTTCATTCTATCTATCTATCTATCTATCTATCTATCTATCTATCTATCTATCTCATCTATCCATCTATCATCTATCTATCTATCTATCTTCTGTTCATTATCTATTCTATTCATTCATCTATCTATCTATCTATCTATCTTATTCTGTTCATTATCTATCTATCTATCTATCTATCTATCTATCTATCTATCTATCTATCTATCTTCTATCTTCTGTTCATTATCTATCTATCATCTATCTATCCATCTATCTATCTATCTATCTATCTATCTCAGTCTGTTCATTATCTATCTATCTATCTATCTATCTATCTATCTACTTATTCTGTTCATTATCTATCTATCTATCTATCTATCTATTCTGTTCATTATCTATCTATTATCTATCTATCTATCTATCATATTCTGTTTATTATCTATTCTATCTATCTATCTATCTTATTCTGTTCTTATCTATCTATTATCTATCTTATTCTGTTTATCTATCTATCTATCTATATATATATATATATATATATATATATATATATATATATCTATCTATTATTCCACTATCTCTCTTCTCCAGTATATATATATATATATATATATATATATATATATATATATATCTATCTTATTCTTTCTTTATTCATTATCTATCTATCTATTTCATCTATCTATCTACCTTCTCATTCTGTTTAATGACTATTTTTTTCTATTCTTTATTTTTATATCTATCTATCTATCTATCTATCTTATTCTGTTGTTATCGCATTCTGTCTTTATCTTTTGATAAATCTATCATCTATTTTCATTTCAAAATCTATCTATCTATTTGTCTATTTCAACGCATTCTGTTTCAGCATATTATCTATGAAAATTTATCTTATTCTGTTTTTATCTATCTATCTATCTATCTCTCTCTCTCTCTCTCTCTCTCTCTCTCTCTCTCTTATCTATCTATCTTTATCTATCCAACTTATTCTTTTTTATCCATCTATTCCTTGCCCTCTATTACAGTCTATCTTTCACTGCCTAGTCATCTCATCAAACATAAAACTGTGAAAAACATAGACACATCAATATGACTGTAAATCGATGATAAAGAGAGGCCTATCTATCTAATTCTGTTCATATACAACAAATCATTTTTCAACATTTCATCCTATCTATCCTTCATTGTCAATCGCACATAATTCAGTTCATTTAATATCTATCCCATCTATCTATCTATCTATCTATCTAACATTATCGGATCAAATGCAAATAATATATCCGTTTCTATCTATCTCATTCTATAGATCTATTGATCCATTCTCTTATCTATCGTCCGTATACTGTTCATTATCTGTACACGAAGCAAATCTATCTATCTATCTCCATCTATCTATTATTCTATTCGATTATCTATCTATCTAAGAGAAAAGAAACACGCCCATTTATCCTGTTCTTATCTAAAACGACCCTGCATTCTATCTATATCTATCTAGATGAAATCTATCTATTGTTCATCATCTCTTATCTATCTAAATAGATACCAATATCCAATAGCTTTTTTCATCTATATATCTATCTTATTCTCTTCCATCTATCGAATTCTATCATATGAGGGTCTATCATCTAGTTCCTGTTCATTAAACCTACATCCCTGTTCAATCACATCATCATGAGATTTGATTATATCTATGAAGGTTTTGTGCAGGACCATCGACACTTTTTCTAAGGGCCATCTAACATATTCTGAAACCTGGTGCATCTATCTATCTATCCAAGGTCCCCAAACGACCTATCTTCTATCTATCAGGTTTTGAATTCATCTATCTTGTCCTTCTCCCAGACCAGTTGCCATCCAGTCTGTATTTCCTCATAGCTGGAGGGTGATGAAAAGGATTCATACATTCCCAAGGGTCTATTATCTACGGAAGTGAATGTAATGGATTCTGACTTATCTATCGAACTCGGCTATCCGATTATTCTGTTCATTAATCCAATCCGCTATCCACTACTCCACCGTGCCTCCATATAAATGCCTACAAAAGATTTAATTTGCCCTCATCAACAAGCCTCTACCAGTTCCCTGTCAAGTAACCTAGGAAAAGTGGTCGATCGGTTTAACTATCTTGGAAGTAACATCTCCTCCACGGAAAGTCATGTGATATTGCATTTAGCAAAGTTTTGAATGTCGTGAACAAGCCGTCACAATCTGAAACTGTTTTATCGTATAAAATGGAAGGAGATTTCTTTCAAGTCATAACCGTATCCAACTTTCTCTATGATAAGATTGCATAGCCATTGACAAAATGATTGGAAAAGAAATGGGACAGCATATGTTCAAGGATGCTATCTGCTGCATTGAATTCATTCTGGAAACAGCATCCTACAAAAAAAAAAACAGTTCTATGGCCAGCTACTTCCCATCTCCCAAGTCAGCAATCTGATGAACCGCTGGTATTCATATATTTGCGTTTCTGTCATACTTTGCTGGTGTCCTGCGCAATAATAATAATAATAATAATGGCAAGATAAACCGCTTCATGGCGAATACTCTGCCCGTACGAAACAAGATGACGTAGACAAAATTATCCAATTCTGTTCATCTAGTGGTTTCTGTTCATAGTGCGGCTATGAAATCTGAAACTGAAAGTTTATCTTTTATTGAACAGGATCAATGCTTGTTAACTAGGAATGATCATTACATATACTAAAAATATTGTGTCAGCCTGTTCAAAATGCAGATTCTGTGATAAATACCCAGAAACAATTGATCATCGTGTATCAGGTTGCACGATATTGGCACCCACTGAATATAAAACCCGGCATGACAGAGTGGAGCAATATCTGTACTGGGAAATCTGCAACTTCTACGGGAAGGAAACTGAAAGAAATTGGTATGAACATCACCCAGACCCGGTTACGGAGATAGGACCTGTTACAATTATATGGTACTACACAATACACTTCTGTTCATTACAATCAAAGCTAACCACCCAGATATTGTTATTAAAGACCACAAACAAAAACGGTGCCTCCTTATTGATATGGCAGTCCCTGCAGACTGCAATGTATCTTTGAAGATCTTCAAAAAGCTATCAAAATACAAGGACCTTGAAATCGAAATCTCAAAAATGTGGCACATAGGAACATCAACGGTCCCTGTTGTAGTTGGAGCCCGAGGATTGGTTAGAAAAGATTCCAGCAGACTAATTGAAGGAATTCATGGAAGTCCATGCCTTAAATAGATACAAAAAATTATTCTGACAAGTACAGCCTACGCTATACGAAGGGCTTTATCTATGTATTTTTTTTTTTGTCTGTGGAAAGTTGCATGATGTCATTTCTAATCTTAAGACCCTGGGCAGGACCCGAAAAGAAATATGTACACGCCATAAATTAATGGATATAAAAAATAATAATAATAACCTGATGTTATACAAGACATGGCTTTTGATCTTAATTACTTGGAAGTTTTAATATGTACATATTTTGTCTTGGGGGTTTGAGGAAATTTATAATTCTAAGCAGAAGGAGACGGTGGAAATTTCCAGGAGGTATTTAATGTGGAAAGACAATTTAACACTCAGAGGACGTGTGGAAGGCAAGAGGAACAGAAAGAAAAGAGTGATAACCTAATGTATTTAGGAAATATATAAAAATGTTCTTACAAGTACAGCCTACACATTTATCTAGGTAAAATGTGCGTAATCATAGTTTTTTTTTGTTTCGATACAAAACAGAGCAGTGGAAAATGCCATGAAGCCATTTCTGACCTTCCCTGAAAAAAAATGTGTTTACAGCAGAAATCAAAGTAACTAATCATAATAATAATAATAATAATAGTAAGAAGAAGAAAAGAAGAAGAAAACGAAACAGAAGGCGAAGAAAACGAAACAGAAGAAAGAGAAAACATCTCCTCCACGGAAAGAAGAAATATTGCAAGAAGAAAACGAAACAGAAGAAAGAACAAATCGAAACTGAAAACGAAAAAGAAGAAAGAAGAAAAAATAAAACAAAGAAAGAAGAAAATAAGATTGAAGAAAACAAAATGAAGGAAAACGAAACAGAAGAAAAGAAGAAAATCGAAGAAGAAAACGAAACAGAATCTAAAAAAAAAACAGAAGAAAACTAAATCTCCCAAGTCAAAGAAACCGCTGGTAAGAAGAAGAAAACTTTGAAGAATAATAATAATAAAACGAAAACAGAATGAAAGAACAAAACAAGAAGAAGAAAAACCCGAAATCAGAAGAAAAACTGAAAGTTTATCTGAAACAGAAGTTTGTCAATGCTTGTTAACAAAAATGAAGAAGAAATACGAAAATAAGAAAACCAAAATGAAGAAAAGAACAAAATACGAAACAATTGAAAACGTGTATCAGGTTGAAAATATTGGCACCCAGAATAAAACGAACCCGGCAAGAACAAAAAAGAAGAAAACGATCTGAAGAAAACGAAACACGAAGAAAACGAAACAGAAGAAAGAACAAACCCAGAAGAAGAAAACCTGAAACAGAAGAAAACACAAACAGAAGAACAAACAAAACGAACCAGAAAATATTGAAATTAAAGAAAAAACAGAAGAAAGAACAAAACGAAGAAGTAAAATGAAACTTCAAAAATCAAAACAAGGAGAAAGAAAAAATGAAGAAGATAAAACATCAAGAAGAAAAAGTTGAAAAAAAGAAAGATTCCAGCAAAATTGAAACAAAAGAATGCCTTAAATAGAAACAAAAAGAAAAACAAGAAACGAAACAGAAGAAAAAACGAAGAAGAAAATTTTTCAGAAGAAAAAAAACAGAATCTTAAGAGAAGAAAAAAACATGAAGAAATTAATGAAACATAAGAAATAAAATAAAAATGAAGAAGAAAATTTTGAAACAGAAGAAAATATGAAACAGAAGAAAGAAAAAAATTCGAAGAAAAAAACGAAACAGGAGGTAAAAGAGACAAAGAAACACTCAAAGGACGAAGAAGGCAAGAAATCAAACAGAAGAAAAAACCTAAGAAAGAAATATAAAAAAAGAAAAAAAACGAAACAGAAGAAAAATGTGCGAAACAGAAGAAAGAACAAAACGAAGAAGAAAACAAACGAAACAGAAGAAAAAAAAAAAACGTTTAAGAAGAAATCAAAGTAACAAACAGAAGAAAGAAGAAAAAAACGAAAAGAAGAAAACGAAACAGAAGAAAAAACGAAACAGAAGAAAGAAAGAAAACGAAGAAAAAGAAGAAACAGAAGAAAAACGAAACAGAAGAAAAGGAAACAGAAGAAGAAACAGAAAAAAGAAAAAGAAAAAAAACGAAACAGAAGAAAGAAAAAACGAAGAAGAAAAACGAAACAGAAGAAAACGAAACAGAAGAAAACGAAAACAGAAGAAAAACAAAACGAAGAAGAAAACGAAACAGAAGAAAACGAAACAGAAGAAAGAACAAAACGAAGAAGAAAACGAAACAGAAGAAAACGAAACAGAAGAAAGAACAAAACGAAGAAGAAAACGAAACAGAAGAAAACGAAACAGAAGAAAGAACAAAACGAAGAAGAAAACGAAACAGAAGAAAACGAAACAGAAGAAAACGAAACAGAAGAAAGAACAAAACGAAGAAGAAAACGAAACAGAAGAAAACGAAACAGAAGAAAGAACAAAACGAAGGAAATGAAACAGAAAAAACGAAACAGAAGAAAAACAAAACGAAGAAGAAAACGAAACAGAAGAAAACGAAAGAAGAAAGAACAAAACGAAGAAGAAAACGAAACAGAAGAAAACGAAACAGAAGAAAGAACAAAAACGAAGAAGAAAACGAAACAGAAGAAAACAGAAACAGAACAAGGAACAAAACGAAACAGAAGAAAACGAAACAGAAGAAAACGAAACAGAAGAAAACGAAAATGAAAAGACGAAGAAGAAGAAAACGAACTTTTTTTTTGTCAGTGGAAAGTGTCATGACGCCAATTCTAACATTAGGTCCCTGGGCGGGACCCGGAAAGAAATGCGTTCACGCCTGAAATCAAAGGAAATAATAATAATAATAATAATAATAATAATAATAATAATAATAATAATAATAATTCAAATAGAAATACTATGAACATGAAACATCAACTGTAGCAAAATGATGAATAATTAAGAATGTCAAATTCACAATGGCTAACTTTTATATAATCGTTAAGTTTTAATCCGAGTCGAGAATATTGACGAAGAACAAATAATAAATATATTCCAAGAAATGATGTTGATTTTGATGCAAATACCGTTTCTATCGTTTAATATTTTTTCCTTTTCATTTTTCTAATATTTTAAAAAATATTGAGCCAATGTAGAGGAAAACAATTGTTCGCATCACGATAGATTATTTTTCTTCTTTTTCGTTTTCTTCTCCTTCTAATTCTTCTTTTTCTTCTTCTCTTTCTTCGTTTTCATTTTCGTCTTAGTTTTCTTCTTTCTTCTGTTTCGTTTTCTTCTGTTTTCTTTTCTTCTTCTTCTTCTTCTTCTTCTTCTTCTTCTTCTTCTCACTATTATTATTATTATTATTATTATTAGTTACTTTGATTTCTGCTGTAAAGACACTTTCTTTCGGGGAAGGATAGAAAAGGCTTCATGGCATTTTCCACTGATCCGTTTTGTATAAAAAAACAAAAGAAAAAACCTAAGATGACGCACATTTTACCTAGATAAATGTGTGAGCTGTACTTATAAGAACATTTTTTATATATTTCCTAAATACATTAGGTTATCACTGTTTTCTTTCTGATCCTCTTGCCTTCCACACGTCCTCTGAGTGTTAAATTGTCTTTCCACATTAAATACCTCCTGGAAATTTCCACCGTCTCCTTCTGCTTAGAATTATAAATTTCCTTAATCCCCCAAGACAAACTATGAATATATATACACTTCCAATTAATTAAGATCAAAAGCCATGTCTTGTATAACATCAGGTTATTATTATTATTTTTTATATCCATGAATTTATGACGTGTACACATTTTTTACGGGTCCCGCCCAGGGTCCTAAGGTTAGAAATGGCGCCATAACACTTTCAACTGACATAATAAAAAATTACATGGATAAAGACCTTCGTAAAGTGTGGGCTGTACTTGTCAGAACATTTTTTTGTATCTCTTTAAGGTATTGACTTCCAGGAATCCCTTCAATTAGTCTATTGGAATCTTTTTCAATCACTCCTAGGGCTCCAACTACAACAGGGATTGTTGATGTTCCCATGTGACACATTTTTGTGATTTCTTTTTCAAGGTCCTTGTATTTTGACAGCTTTTCGAATATCTTCAAAGATACATTGCGGTCTGCAGGGACTGCCATATCAAAAAGAGAGCACTTTTTTGTTTGTGGTCTTTAATAACAATGTCTGGGCGGTTGGCTTTGATTGTTCTGTCAGTGTGTATTGTATAGTCCCATAGAACTGTAATATGTCATATCTTCGTAACCGGGTCTGGGTGGTGTTCATACCATGTTCTTTCACTTTTCCTTCCCGTAGAAGTTGCATATTTTCCATTGCAGATATTTTCAGTGGGTGCCAATACCTTGCAACCTGATACAAGATGTTCGATTGTTTCTGCGTAATTATCACAGAACCTGCATTTTGGGCTAACAGTATATTTTAGTCTATGTGCTTGATAATTTCTAGTTAACAAGCATTGGTCCTATGCAGCAAGGATAAAACCTTCAGTTTTAGCTTTCAACTCTGCACTACGTAGCCACTGATGAGTACGGGTTTTGTCTACGTCACCTTGTTTGGTACGGGCAGAGTATTTGTCATGAAGCGGCTTATCTTTATTTGCTTTCTTTTTTATGTATTTTATTATTATTATTATTATTAGTAGTAGTAGTAGTAGTAGTAGTAGTAGGAGGAGGAGGAGGAGGCGATGGAGTAGTAACTGTAGTTACATCTCTATTACTTGCTATGTTGTAAAAATATTGGGTTGGTGCATAATTATCAGGCGTTTTGTAGGTGCTGTTTTGTTTACTTTTTTTAATAAACATATTATATCTGTCTATTATTTCAGAGACAACGGTCGAAAAGATGAGAACAATAGTCCGAATAATGTAAATAGTGTAAAAATATTATAGTATCGATAATTATATCCTTTAAAAATGTTATTGTTTAATTCTTATGTTTCTTTTTTTATAATAAATATTGTTTAAAAAAACCCTGATAATTATGCACCAAGCCAATAGAAAAAAAATACTAATGGTCAAAGTGGTGTGTAGACGATAAAGAAAAGAAAAAAACAAATTGTGGGAACGATATAAAAAATAATCCGTAACATCAGCCAAGGATTGGATTTGTCTTGAAAACAGACGAGAAACAGAAGGAAAAAGCGTCGCGTGTCTCCGGAAACAACGAAAACAAAGGAATTATTCGATTCTTAACACGCAGGGAAACAAGGGACAACTTTCTCCAAAAATAAAGTCATCTGTAAACAGAATCTACATACTGGTTCAGATTCTTCCTCTTCTATGTGTCGTGTCCTTCTTCCTGACGTACGCAATCATGGCTCTCCACGTTTTCATATCATTCGTAACACTTAGCGATGTACAGTCCTTCTGAAGTTATTATGTAAATCACATAAGCCTCAATAACTAGAATTTGCTTTGAAAATTTGTTTTTCCAATTTTAAACGATTAATTTAGATGTAAAAAAAACATGTTCAATTTTTATGTGGTTTCAACATGTTTGATTAAAGTTATTATATAACAAAAACTGCAGTCTAATGCAACCCCAGAAAATAATTTTCTAAAGGAATGAAAAGATAATAAAATCATCAATAATTGGTCAATGCCTATAATAGAAAAAATAACAAACATATATCTTTTCCAAACTGAAAATAGATTTTCGATCGGGTTCAGATCAGGCCTTGTTGGTGGACATTCCATTATCTTCTTTCCTGTAAATCTTTTACGATCAAAATATTCACGGGTAACGTGATATGTTTGAGAAGGAGCATTGTCGTGCATAAGTGTACTCTTCACTATGGAACAGCGACGCTGCGGTTTGTACCATTCAAAGAAATATCTTTCCATGAAATCGTAATAGTATTGTTCGGTCTATCTTGTTCATCGATTTTGAAGGTTCGATAATGGTTTGGTCGTTAATTCCAGCTATTATGCCACCTCCTTACTATCTTCCTAGAGCTCCAGGCATTCCTGCATCGGATAAAATCCATCCTTTGGCCTATTGATCAGATCCATTGAGTGTCACCCAAGATTTGCTCGTGAAAATTACTTTAGACAAGTTGGTTTTCATGTATCTTTTAGTCCAATTTTGACGCTTTAAAATATTTGCTTTACTCAGAGGAGTTTTCCGAGGGGATTTTTTTTTTCGTTCGAGCCCAATATACAGTATTTACATTATTCGGACTATTGTCGTCATCTTTGTCGCCATATTTATTACAACGTTTTTGGCTGTTGTACGCACCGGCCTTCTTCAGGTCGTTGGAATGTCGAACTGAACCCTTTATTTCGCTCACTGGGGTAGACAGAACCCAAAGAGTGTGAGTTCAATACCTGGTTAAGGCGGTAGAGAACTTGGAGAGAGAAATTAACAGAAGATAACTAATAACTGACATCCATTAGTCATGTCACGTGGAACCGGAATTAAAATCGGCCAACCAGATAACACAATTTAATTTTTCTCAATTTATTGAATATTATATCTCTAATTATCTATTCGGCTCATTTGGGGCAGAACTCCTGCTAACCTGAAACACTCATATATTTTATTATTATTATTATTGTCAAAATATTGTTGTATATATAGAGAACAGTGCTCAATATCGGCGATAAAGTGTTTGTGGACAAAGTGCGGACATTTAAATCGACCCCGCGTGATAATTGCTAGTTTTTTGCGATCTCCAGACAATGCAATATTGATTACTATAGTTCCACTGTCTATATGTATTTCTTTTCTTTCTTTCTTTCTCTCTCTCTCTCTCTCTCCTCCTCTCTTTATATATATATATATATATATATATATATATATATATATATATATATAACAAGGAGAGCTTTGACAAAAAATGAAAATATCGAGCAGAAAATTTAACGTTTTTAAGGCAAGCAGTTTTCATAATAACAGTGCTCGATATCAAATCACACACACACACACATATATATATATGTGTGTGTGTGTGTCTGTGTGTGTGTGTGTGTGTATGGTATGCGTGTTTGTGTGTGTGTGTGTGTGTGTGTGTATGTGTACCAAACCGAAATAACCTTTGCTGTCGAAATATACATACCTCATACATATATTCATACGTATATATTTACGTAATTATATATACACATATACCTGTAAACATATACAACCACATACATATGTATCGATATATATATATATATATATATATATATATATATATATATATATATATATATATATATATATTATTCAAAATTTAAAATCGGCTAACCAGATGACACAAGTTAAATTTTCTTAATCTGTTGAATATTATATTTCTGATTATCTAATCGCCTTTTTTGGCAAAATATTGTTGTATATAGAGAGAACAGTGCTCAATATCGGCGATAAAGTGTTTGTGGACAAAGTGCGGACATTTAAATCGACCCCGCGTGGTAATTGCTAGTTTCTTGCGATCTCCAGACAATGCAATATTGATTTCTATAGTTCCACTGTCTATATGTATCTCTCTCTCTCTCTCTCTCTCTCTATATATATATATATATATATATATATATATATATATATATATATATATATATAACAAGTAGAGCTTTGACAAAAATGAAAACTATCGATCAGAGAATTTAACGTTTTGAGGCAAGCAGTCTTCATAATTACAGTGCTCGATATCAAATCATATATAATTAGGAGTAATAAATAACATTAGATGTTTATTTAACATATTTTGCTGCAACCAGATGCACAATAATTACAAGCA